TGCTCCTGATCCAGCAGATTCTTCCCATGTCCACTTTGTAGGAAGCTGTCCGACGACTACAACATCACTGAGACTGTCGCTTGGCCAGTGTAGACGGTGGATCTGTTCACTGGTCTGCACAGGCATTTAAGGATTCAGTTCGGTTGAAAACAGTTGTGGGAAGCCTTGTGCCGCATGTATGTGCTTTCTTGAGACCCGGCCGAATGTGGTACAAGACCTTATTTAAGTTTCTCGTGTGACTGCAGGTCCGCAGGTGGCAACCTTGAGACGTGCTCTTTATGAAGGAAAGAGATCCTGCCATTGTTTTCTTTCTTTCTCTTTCAGATTATTCTCTCTGCTTTAAGAGCCTTTCCAGGCATGTTTTGGCAACACGATTTTGTCAGAAACCCTGGCGTCTACAAGAAGATTTGTACTTGCACTCGGCTGTTGAAACCAAATTGAGCGAGACCCAGCCAGATCCAACCAGCAAGAATTCCAGACGCCGAAGAAGGCGCTAACTGTAAGCATCAAGAAAGGCTTGGTAGCTAGGATACGTAGCTGGGATGTCATTTCAACAGTAGCCTTGTTTGCCTCATAGCATGAATACTACAGAGGCTGTGGTTTCTTAATCGCTGTCGCTGGGATGCACGAGGCTTTCTTCCTTCATCTCTTTTCGCCTCCATGGCATCTGCAATTCATAGAAAGATATGGATCGGAATGCCATGAAGGCCTTGAATCGGTGCCAAAATCGGCGGTAAACCAGGTCTTGGATGAAAACCCACGTGTTGAGGCTGTCTTGCATCTTGTAGCAAGAGATGCGGACAGCAAGCTGGCCCTTGCTCCAGGTCTTGGGAACTGGTTTTGCCGGCAGCGTGCTCTTGGCCACAAGCCGAAGGCCCGACCGACAAGGTCGCACCACCCGCTTCGCGCCTCTGCTGCAAAAACGTGTGGTTGCGAGCTTTTTGTGGAACAAATAAGGGTATGTGCAGTGACCACGGGCTTCTGAGCTCAGACATGTTACGAAAGCTAGCGGACCTCGATTCCTGTGAAAGAATCACGTACAGACCCCCCCCCATCCTGTGATATATCACACGATCCGTGGTTTTCCAGACTTGACAGCTACTAAAGCAAGACTAAACTCAAGCCTAGCTCGCTTGATTTGTGCTGCTATGGTTGCTGTTGTAGGGTCTGCTTCTTTATCTGATTGAGGACCGAAATTAATTTCATGAAAAGTAATGATGTTAGATCATTTTCTTGCGTATACCCTCTGATATATCCGCATCTAAATAATGTTATGCTCTTGTCGGCGTCCAAAAATAAGTTCTTGGCTTAAATAGGTGCTTGCGTTGTCTCACTGTTCGGAAAGACGACATATTGGGGTCTACTCCTGGTCCTGCTTTCCACTCCTGTCCTTCCTGCCTTTACTTCACCTCTTGATGCGTCTTGTATTTCCATAAGTGTTTGTGCTCCTCCGGTTGTAAAGCAGTTTCGTTTTCTATTCCCGAACTCCAAGGACGTCGTTGCTGGTGGTTAAATCTAACTTCCCGGCTGTACTCTGTTCACAGTTCACGACGGTTGTATGGTCATGATCCGCGTGTGGTAGTCGCGTCAAACCTCCCTTCTTGTTCTATCATTTGCCATACCCCAGCAAGTTCACAATACGGATGACATGATGCTGGTGGTTTTCAAGGTTTTGCTCCCCTTTGTGTTCACAACCCTTGCAAAATCATGATACACATAGACCGTGCTGGTCCTTGCGTCAAACCTTCCTGGCCCCTCTGTAGTGGTCACTACCTGGCAAGCATCATCATGCCGGGTTGTNNCCTTTCCCTCCTTCTGTTGTGTTCGCGACCTTTGCCTGGTCTTGAAACAAGCCATTTTTTGTTTTATTGAGACCTTCCATTCCTGTAGTGCTCGCTAAAACTGCCCATCCATGAGCATGGTATGAATGGCATGAAGCTCGGTGGTTGTACAGACGCTCCCTACTCCGTCTTTGATAGTGCATGCCCTTGAACGGTCATGGTACCGAGCACGTCATGCCTGGTCGTTGCATGTCGCCTTCTCGTCTTTTGGTGTTTGTTTCGTGCGTGCTCTTTGTACAAGTACAATTTTGCTTTGTGGTTGCATCCAATCTTGTTTCTCTTTATGACCCCTTTTTCTCTTCATGACCCCTTTTTCGGCCAGGACGCAGGTAAGTTCATTCTTCGTGGTTGAATCAAACCTCTCTTCCCCTTTCATAGTGTTCCCGACGTTGTTTGGTCATTCTACAAGTACCATCTTGCTTAGCTGTTCCCTGCAACCTTCCTATTGCTGAGTGCTCTGCGGAAGGGGTCCTAATTCAATGTTGCGATCTGGGAATCCATGGCCGGACAAACTCGTTGCGCACGTGTCCGCAAGCGTCCGCAAAGTGCCCGCAACGCGGCCACAAGTGTTCGCAAGCGTTTCCAAGCATTTGCGCCGTCACCATCCTCGTATAAGTGTTATCGCTTTTGGAACGTCGTTGCTGCGTCGCGTGGCAAAGGTGTATCCAGTCATGGGGCATGGGAAGCGTTGCTGCTTCGTGGCCTGTGAAAAGTTCATGAGTGCCAGTTACAGGGATGCTGCACCTTAGGGTAGCCATCTTGGTAATTTCATTTTTTTGGAGAGTCACGTCCTTGTTGCGCGCGAATAGTGACAGGGATGAGGCCCCTTGGGGTTGCCATCCTGGCAATTGTCGCCATTTTTCGAGCCTCGTGCCTTCACCTCATGTAAGACATTTTCACTGTCGCATGCAAGGGCGCCTTCAGTTTGCCATGCTGGTACTTGGTCGTGTTTTCCTTGCATGCGCTCCTGTGGTCGATCCTCGTGCCCGTCCTGGCTGTTAGACGTTGGCCAAGAATGCCGGGGGACTACGCTACTTGCGCTATTGCGGAATGGAATGGAGTGGAAGAGGGGAAAGTGCATAGACTGGAGAGTGGAGTGGAGATTGCATTGCAGAGTGGAATGGCGAGTGATGCAGAAAGTCAGTAAGAGTGGAGTAGAAACTGGAGTGGTCTTTGGAGCCAGGGTGGAGTCCAGAGTAAAGTCAGAGTTAGACTGGACAGTGGAGTGAAACGTGGAGCAAAGACTGGGAGAATAAGGAAAGTAGGGAGGAGAGGGCTGGAAAGGAAAGTGGGTTGCCAAGTAAAGTGCAAGAGAAGTGGACACTGGAGTCGAGTTGGCGAGGTTCTGCGAAGGGATTTTCCAGGCCCCTTAACGAGTCTCGCGCTTTTTGCTGGCATGTACCTTCCCTCCTCTTCTACCCTACTCCGGCGCTAGAGCCTGTCTAGCTTTCGGCCTTGGGTCTTTGGAAGGATTGCAGCCCATCCTGAAGGACCAGTGTTGCTGTTGAGTGTTTTGCGGGTAGCAGATGCGCAACCAAAAGCGGAAACTCTTTTTGTCAGCTTTGTAATAGTGTCCCTTCGGCAAACTAAGTGGTGTCTAATTTTCACTTTCATGTCTTGTCACAATGCTGAGGCTGTGAAGAGTATCAAGCTCCACCATAAGGCCATCTCGTACGGTTTGGGCAGTCAAGCTGATAAAAAGGAGCCGAGGGTGGAGCAAGGATGACGTTTCTGCTTGGGACAACATGGTCTGCAGCAGTTTGTAGCGCAAGTGCGCAGAAGCGCAGGCAGCCAGGAAAACCTTGGCAGCGGAAGTGGAGGTTTTTCTTTCAGCAACTCGCTTCTTTCCATGAGCGCTGGAGCGTTTCTGGTTGTGAGCTAGTGGATCTTTGCTCCCGAGGTCGACCATCCGCACGTTTGCAGGTTGTTTGACGTCTACGAGAGCACTCATAGCCTGGATCTGGTCATGGAATGCCTGGAGGGTGGCGAACTGTATCAGCGTGTGAATGCTGGAAGGTTTGCTGCAGATCGGCAAGCATAGTTAGCACACGACACGCCTGCCTTCAAATGTTCATGAGTCAGCAAAATTTCAACTCCAAGCTTGCAAAAGACACCTGTTTTGCTTCACAGGGCTGCAGTTGAAGATAGGGTGCTCGATCTTGAGGAAAAAGATGCAGCAGACGCAGCTTATCAGATGCTGCTTGCCGTGCGCTACCTCCATAAACTTGGCCGCTCGTCTGTGCCATAGCCCGTAAAATGTCTGAGAATCTTCCGGCTCAGCGTCAGTCGCTTCCTGCTTTCCGGCCAGATGATGCAAATGGTGAGGGAAGCGAGCTACTACGTGCTTTTTGTGGTCATTTGTCCTACTGCCAGGCATCGTTCACAGAGATATCAAGCTAGTGACTTGGCCGTTGATGATGATGATGTCGCACATGCCAAAAGCAGTTGTCTTCCTGGTTGCCTTTCCTGTGACTGCTGAAGCTTTAGAGCTGGAAGTGTCCAGGAAAATTTTCTTTATACAGAGCGCCACAGCTGCAACAGCTCTAGTCTCATGGCCATGCGCTGCATTAGCAAGAGCCCGAGAATTGACGGTGCAGCAGAGTAGCATCAAAAGTCCTCTGCAGTACTGTTCTCCTAAGAAGTTCTCGGACAGGTGGAACACCTGTTGCCATTTTCGGAACTTGCAGGTAGTGGCACTGCGCACCATGTTCTGGTATTGAGCGATTCTTGCAGCTAAGGGTTGGCAGCAACCACCTCAAGCTGATCGACTTTGGGTTTAGCTACTGCGCCGCACTATGATGCAGGAAGGGGGGAACTCCGTCAGACGCCAGCTGTTACCTGGCATTGCAAAAAGCACTGGTCTGCAGCTCAGGCAAGGCGTGGGATCCAGAACAAAAGAAAATGAAATTGAGCTGCCAGCCTCCCAGCTTTGGGAAGACTCTCGCGCAAATGGTGCCCAGACTGCTGACTGAACAGTAAGGTGGGACAATCTGCTACGTTGCTCCCGAGGACGGCAGCTGTGTTCGACAGAAATTCGGAAGCAAACAAGCGTGAAGCCTGCGAAGCTCGGGGCGGGTCCAGGTTATCCTGCAGAGCTACACAAACATGTGTGACCTTTGGAGCCTTGGAGTGGTGGTCTTCCTGCTGCTGGTGGGCTACATGCCCTTCCCCGTGCTTCCAGACATCGCTGCTCGGCCGCAAGCGGCACAAAGCAGCCAAGAAGTGCCTGCTGGTGTAAGATGTGTAAGCACTCAGGAAGAGACGGAGTTGAACATCCTTAATGGCCGTTACAAGTATGATGCCAGAAAGTGGAACTGCGTCTCCAAGTCCTCCTTCGACTTTGTTTCTAAGCTGCTGCCTGGCAGCTTTTGGGTGCGTCGCTGCATGTGTTTGCGTCAAGTGGCATACCCTTGTTGCCAGAATGAAGGCACATATAGATTGCATGCATTCGACAGATGGAGGTTGCAAAGAGATCCGGATATGCGCATGACCGCAGAAGAGGCACAAGGAGACGGTCGCCGGGGCTTGGCCTGACGGGAACTACTAAGCTTCTACTAACTACTAAGACTCTATTACGCTCGGTAGTGTAAAGGATTGGGATTCTCTTGTGCTCTGCAGGCTCTGGCGCATCCATGGATAGTAGAACGGGAGCAGATGGCTTGTGGAACAGAGTCCACAGCCCCTTGCCTCAAGTATCAAAGCGCAGGAAGCGAATCACATGCAGAGATTTTTGTCATGTGCATTGACAGCATTCATGTCTATCCTGCGTGTTATTGGCAGTGCCTACAAGAAGCCTGTCATGCTCCTTGCGCTGAGTGCTGCATGTGCTGCCGTGAGTTTGCAATGAAGTGTGCTCCGGATGTTCAATCGTCCATGTGACTCAGGGATTGGATGCTTCCGTGGTTCGCTCCCTTGCCGCGCCCTGGCATTGAATGCACCGGGGGGGGGGGCTGGAGAGGCACTTATCCTAGCTGCCCATCGTCATGAGTCATGGCTGCGGTTGATCAGCTGCTGCTCTCATGAAGAGATGTCAGATGCAAGCGCGGGGACTTGCAGAGGAATACTCCAAAGCCTCGAAATTTCGACGGACTTGTATGCAGGCTGGATGTCAGGAATGGCAAGGAATCCGTAATGTGTTTCGGTACAGATATTCGGCAGGTGATGGCGTGGTCCTTGAATAACGGAGAGATGGCGGAAGTTCGTGAGGCCATGTGAGTTGCTCCGCCGTGCGATTGTGCCAGGTCTTGCAATGCCAGCGCATGCTGGGATGCATAATGGCATGAGTGTGGCAATATGTTTCGGCCTCATGGTCCGGGTGAAAGCTGTTAGATGCACAGTCAGGCCGACACATGCTACTGCCTGTATCGGTTCGCACGTTGGGTCTGGCTGTTGCACACATGCCCTGCCTGTGTGCACAGTACTTTGTTGTTACACTGTTATAGCTTTCTTGCTTGCAGCTCTGAATTGCTACGCTAGGCCTTCATGGAGTTGGACGTGCAAAAGACTGGTGCGATTCAGTTACATCAGCTTAAATCTGTCGGCTTGCCAGCTTTGTTTCCTCTTCTGCAGCAGATGTGTCATGTTTCAGGCTGCACTGTGTGCAGTTGTGGATGCCAAGGTCTTGGAAGAGAGATTCAACATCTGCGATGACGAGACCAGAAAGATTTTTGAGGCATTGGATTCCTCCAACAACGAGGACTGAAGTAGACAGCAGATCTGTCATGGAAACTGCAAGGACCCAGGTTATTTGACCTTGCATTTGCAACGTTGGTGCGCTCGATGTGATCCTGGCAGTCAGTTCAAAGCTGCTGCCAAGTAGCATAGATGACTGGATTGTCATTCCGAGTTGCTTCGTTCTCACTAGGAAGTTGGCTACTCCGAGTTTCTGGCTGCGATGATGTCTTCTCGCATTCAAGTCCACGAAGACTTGGTGCGAGCTGCTTTCCAGCCGTATGACCAAGATGACTCGGGCTTCATCAGCGCAGCTGGACTGAATGCAGTCATACTGTGCCCTGGCAAAAGTAGGGAGAGGTGGCTTACGTGGGTGTCGAGGTGGAGAATCTCAGGCAGGTCCTGACAGAGAGCCTTGACAGCCAGGACCATGAAGAACACGGACTTACTGTGTTGTGGGTTGTGCGAGAAGTGTTTGCTGCCAGTTGAAGGTATGACGCTATCAAGTGAGTTTTGCAGGAGATGGCGGAGGATCTGCTAAAGGGGGTGCCATGGGTTGGGCCCGACCGGCGCGTGTCGTCGCTGGGGCTGCAAGACGTGCTGGCGCTGCAGCTGCTGCTGTTGTTCTGGCTGCTGCTTTCTACCCTGTCAAGAGAGGGATCCAGATAGGCATGGTGACAGTAGTTTAGATACTTTAGTAGCGTTACGCACAGAGTGCGTGCCTGCAGAGCAAGCATGATAGCTTTGATGTCAAAGAACGTGGGGTGCAAGACTCTCAGTATGACTTCATGTGCTGGTTGTGTGGGCCTGCTCATTCTCAAGAGGTTTGATGAGTTCATCGAGTACCTGACTGGCGGCGAGGTCCTTGCTATGTTTGGCTTCAGGGTGTAGTTTGAGCTAGATCACTACCATGTTCAGTATCTTCGGGTTGAAGCAATTTCCCACACCTTTGGCAATTACACTCGGGGAGTTCCAGGACGCAGGAGGTGCACCGTGCAGGCAAGTCTCCAGGGTTAGAGTCGGCATGTTGCGCCAGTGGTGCAGGCCGAGGAGTCCCACAAGCGGGCCGTAGGCCAGTGTGCCTGGGAGCGTGATCACTGCAACCAACCGGATCTCTTCTTGAACTACCAAGTTGCAGTCTGTTGCCATGGTCACCATGCCTTTCGTGCCAGGCTTTGTGATCGACAAGCAGATGTCCAGAATGAGTTCTTCCGAACTGATGCGTATGTTGCTCGGGTCCAACTTAAGCGCCCCCAGTCAGTATGAAGGTTCTTTTCGCAAGCTGCAGGCTAACTTCAGTAGCTCTGAGCTGTCTTCTGCCACACAACTTATCCTTTTCTGCCTAGTTGGTTGGCTGAGCTGGCTGTGGCTAAGGGCTCCAACGCTCCGCCATTGCCCACTGACTCCGAAGAGCCTCAACAGGGCCAAGAGCACTCCGTTCATGATGGTTGAGGCAGAAGAGTCGGTGCTGGTGATGGCAGTAGTAGCCATAGTAATGATAGTGCAACAGGTGGAGGAGAAGAACAGGAAAATGCAGCCCGTGCATCTGTCAGGACTCAGACGAGGAGGCCAAGATGGAGATACCCATGGCCCCATTCTTGACCGCGCCAAATCCGGCCAAGCAAGTGAAGGCAGAAGCTTTACCTGACCACGCCCCCGGCACATTTCCTGTGCGGTATCCCCTCTGATGGCCATTGTTTGCAAGAGTGTGTTACTGCCAATTCATAGTCAACAAGTTGCTTGCGGTCTAGATTGCCCCTTCAAGGAATTGGCCGTGGGTGGGTCACCCCTGTAATTCATCAAGGTTCCTGCCGCGTAAAAAACTGGTTGCAAAGCGGCATCGCTTTGCAAAGTGAGTTGGCGACCAGAAACGATCTGTTTTGATGCTGCTGCTTCTAGGCCGCCACTGCTACTGCTGCTACTATGACGACAACGACGACGATTACTAATACCACTGCTACCACTACTACGCTCTTACTTTTGCGGAGCAGGCTAAGGTTCAGTCAGGAATCTAAGTGGGGCGGAGTGGGGGCAGGGAGAAGGGGGGGTTTGGGCAGATGGGGGGTTTTTGGTGCCGAAGACAACAAATTGAAATTGAAGGAGCTCAGGTACTGCTACTTGTGCCATTATCAGCATTATTACTAGTACCATCGCAACTGCAAGCACAACAACAGCAGATGGGCACGACGACCATGCCCAGATCTGACTGCTGCTAGCGTGGTAGTACTCCCTCTGTTACAGCGACTCGCACTGACATCACCACTGCTACTTCACTCTTGCTGTTGCTATGATTGTTATTGTTCTTACTGCTATCATTATTTCTGCTATGCTTGTTTTTGGCACTTTCACTTCTTCCGTTACTGTTTTATTCTTAGTAGTTAGTTTGACCATAAAATCTGTAGTGCTGCTACTGACACTGCTATTGCAACTGCTATTGCCACTACTGACACTACTGCGGCTCAAATTTTGATTCTTACTGGTATCGCTCTGGTTCAGGGAACTTACTGTGCTGCTACCCCAGCTACATGTAGGGTTTAGGGCTCGGTGTTTTGCTGTGATGTAGCGAAGGCCACAGAATGGCTTTGAGTGCGTCGTGCTGTGTGACATGCTTCCGCGGCCTGATGGCTGCGCTGATGTCCATTCCCTTTGCTGGCATTCAGTAGTGTTTCAACAGCAAAAATTGTCTAACCAAGCGCGATGAAATCCGTTGCTCTTCGCATCATACAGCTGGAGCGTACCCAGTTCCCACAGCCAGTTCCTATATCGAGGAGGCCGTTCAGACGAACAGAAAGCATGCAGACGCAGCCCAAAAGATCAAGAGGAGGAGCGACGCCAGCAAGTGTCAGGAATTCGGGTGGAAGGTCACGCACCACGAGGTCAAGAACCCACATGTTCAAAAGCAAAGCTGAAGTTGCTGGAGACAAACCTTTCGAAAAAAGGTCCGACAAAGTGTGCAGGAGTTACCCGTTCAAGCTTGGGCATGGGATGTAGAACACCAAGTCCAACATGTGCTACATGATGAACGTGTTAGTGCAGAGTGGATTTTTCAAGTGTGCGGCCATGGTTGTGCTGGCGCTGTCCATACTTATTTAAACAATCAGGCCTACCGGAGAATCAGACTTGGCGCAGCCAATCGTCTGCAAGACGTCGTCTAAACATATTTGTTTGTGCAGAACCGGAGAAGCTAACGAGAATTTCCGTTGCAGGTTACGAGAGAGTTTGCAAATAGTGATTGTTGACTGGACTGGGAACTGGAGAGCTGTACCTGAAGATTTTGTTTCCTTCTTGTTGTCGCATGTCTTCTGGGATGGGAATCTGGATCGTGTGAGCTGCTGTTGTACAACAAGGCAAGACTTTGTGTAAGAAAGGCCGCTCACTGCGAGACGACGCGCGAAGAACTTCAGATGTTTTTGCAAAGCGTCCAAGTTACTTTGTGTGCGTAGCAAACGAGGTACCCACTGAACGTGGGTGACAACTGCGTGCTCGTACGTAACAGTAGCTGTTCAGCTCCTTGCGGCATGCCTGCTGCCTGCCACTCCATGCATTCGTTGTTGTTGTGCATTAGCCATAAGTCGAGGTATGCGAGCGGCTGTTCTCCAAGCATACAGCCTGCTCCACGACTGGTAATGTCTCACACTAGCTCAGGCCTCCAAGAATTTAGGGTAGCACGAACAGCATCCACATCAGCTGCGCAGACTACTAAGCTGTCGACCACAGAGCCGTAACAAGACGATATTGGAATGGTGGGCGTGCCATACTGGCTCGACAACTTTTTCCACATAGAGGTTGGCTAAGAAAACTCAAAAAAAAAGCCGGTGGCAATATGCTTCAAGGCATCCACCACAGTGCAAAACGAAAGGGTTTCGAAGGCCAACCTCAAGAAGCCGACAAACGAACTCATAGCCTTCTGGGACTTGTCTTGGCATGGTGTTGAGAAACTGCTCGCTGCTTGCGGCTGCAAACTACAAAGATGTCTGAATAGACGCTAACACATCATGCAGGAACAAACTCAACGCTGCGAGCCGGCTATGACAGAATGAGAATCCTTTTGATGGGCAACTTGTGCTATTCGACTCTTAGTCGGAAATGGCCCCCACCAAGCGAAAACACCCATGTTTCTTTCATATGTGAGCATCGTGGACTGAAATCACCCCGTCCTGATGCGCACACGTAACGAGAGTTTCCAACGCGCACCTTGCAAAAAAAGGCTTACATGCATATTCGCGTCAATCCAGCTTGCGAAATCCCCTCTCAGCAAAGTCCTGGATCAATCACATCTAGCACTTGTTGCGGGCTTTGGAACGCTTGGGCTTGCTCTTGGCGCTGAGACGCTTGCTCTCTCAGAGCGTGGTTTATTCTTGAAGTAATTCAAGCTGTCGCGTCATCAGCGACGCCAGGTCCGCCAAAGGGGGTTTCCGCTGCTGTGAAGGCTGAATAACAATTGCAGCGAAAGCGCTGGAAGTCGCCAGCACTCTTAAGGCTTGATTTGCTGACGCTACATAAGGATGCGTAACACTTCTTTATACCGTCCAAACCTTCGGATCTCTGGCGGACACCCTGCTTCCCCTGCTTCGGAACTTAGCCTGATGCCAGTAACAGCTTTCGAGCATTGAGGCTCCAGCTCGCCATGTTTTGGACGGCTGTTCACTGCAAGAGTTGTTGATGCAGTGGGCATAGGCGAAAAAGATCCGCAACATTTCCAACCGTGCGCACAGCACAAAAACTGAAAAGACTTGGCACGCAGTTTCCGGCTCAGGCTGCTGTCCTGTGCTGGCTGTTTGGCGTCTTTGCTGGTGCAATTCCTTGTTTGCTGCTTCTGCTTGTGCTGCTGTCTGCTTTCTGCTGCTGGCACATTCTTTTTTCTTCATGTGGAGGTTCCATCTGACCTGGTCTTGGACACCGCCGAGGCGAGCCCACATAAGCCCGAAGTTCCTACAAGACAGTAAGCAGATGTGTGATGCAGCAACTTTGGTACGAAGACTGGGTTTGATCCGCTCAGAGCTGAAGTCAAATGATGTCCAGCACGCAATTGACAGCAACAACGTTTTCATTGCAAGCTGCAGGCGACGGCGACAGCAAATCCGAAGCACTTGGACGAGGCTGGCTCATTGGCTCCGGGCTTTTGACAAAGTTGAAGGCCCTAAGAGGCCCTAAGCCATCCGAAGTCCTGGCTTGCAGTTTCCCCTGCACGGGCCCATAACAGGGGGCATTCGCTCAGGTGCCGGAGAGTCCGCCAGCCACTGGACAGACACCTGCGGCTAACAGCAAGGCACCAACGCAATTGGGTTTGACTTGCCTCTGCAAGCGCAACTGCCTTGTGGCTGCAAGGATAGAATAGACAGAATGGCAGTTGTAGTCCCAGACGTGTCCAGACAAGGGTGTGACACTTGTTGACAGTTCACGACCACTTGAGCCGTCAAGCTTCTGCCTGCGTTAGATGAATCCCGTGCTCCCTGCCACTGCTCAATACGGTACCGTTCCGGTTGCTTGAAATTTTGCTGCCCTGCACGGAAGGCGAAGAGCAGCGTTTGCTCAATCCTTTGAGCAACAGCCTGCAGCTAGGGTTAGTTGACTTGTGAGCAGATTGGCGCGGAACATCCGAAGCCACCTTCGGAGAGTCTAGTGAAGATATTCTTGAAAATCCATGCCAATCCTTAACCGAGACTGGACTATGTAGGACGTTTCCGCCGTTTTCGTTCTTTCCCTCATGGGGAGTCTTGTACATTTAAATTTGTGCGAGCTCAATTGGGACCAACCTTGTCTGCCCCCTGGAGAGAACTGCGAAGCAAAGGCCTCCCCAGCAGCTTTAGCAATAATCCAGTTGGCAAATGGGGCCAGTTCTGCCATGGTCTTTGAGTTCTCGCTGAACCCCAGTCTTGGGGAGAGAATGTCTCCAAAGACGTCGTTTCGTAGCACTCCTGTCACAATCTTCGGCTTGAGACAGCACCTTGGCCCGTGCAGAAGCATACCTACTGTATGTCACAGGGAAGCCACCACCAGAATGATTGCCATGGGCTCTGTGACTATTTGCCTTCGCGCTCACCACAAATGTGGTGCGTAGTTTCTTCGCGTTTCGCGACCTGACTGATACTCCATGCAGTAGGGTCAAACTTGTGACAGCTTTGCGTTGGCCTCAGTCCACTGGTTCTGGCCATGCAGGTCAGTACCCCTTTCCAACAGCATGCCCGTTTTCAGCATGCCAATCTTTCTTGGTTCGCAGGGAGCCATCCGGTTGTTGGACATTGTATTCCATACAAACGGGTTGGCTTGAGAAATCTTGAAGCCATGTCACATTTTCGATTTCAGGGAGACCATCTGAGAGCTCATGGTTGCGATGTCTGAGCATATTTTGAAACTTGGCAGTACAAGGCCGTTCTGGATTGCAGCGCTGCGGGAGACAGTCTGCATCCAAGCCCCTTGCTGTCTATCCATGATTTCTTGAAAGTTGAGGGAGTTGAAAGTTCGCCAACGCAATGGCACGGTCATGTTCCGCCTTGCCGCATGGCCTGCTGAGGCCTCTTCAGCATTGTCGAGTCCAATCATTTCCGCGAGCTGACTCACATAGCTGTGTGCTCAGATCTGCCCAGCACACTTAATTAGCATGATCAGGCAAGCCATTCTGCCTTTAAATTCAAAACGCTTGCGTGCATTTTCGGCAGCAAGGCGCTTCGGCTTCGGAAAGGGGAAGACGAGGTGCGCTCGGCATGCTGTGCGAACTGCTAGCCCGAGCAGCTCGGGTGCTCGACAAGTTTGGCAGAGGTGGTGAAGAAACACCTTGCTCAAAAGCCCGCGCCTGTGCATTTGCGGTGTCACTTCCCTGCACTGCAGGGCATGCAGCCTGGCAATGCTTTTTGAATTTTGTAAAACAGCAAGAGTTCTTGAAGCCAGCTCTCTCTTCCCAGCAGCGTCCGAAATCAGAAAACGACGCATCCATCACTGTCACATCGACTTTGCGCTGTCAATAGGACTTTAAAAAGGCTGCAGGGTGTCCTGCAGCACCTCACAGTGGCGTCGTGGCAAAAACTGAAAATGCTCGGCTTCGGCGGCACCATCAGATGGTTACGGCTTCAGGATTTTTTTTTGACAGGCTGCGCAGCTTTCGGATCAGAGGCTCAACGGAGTTTTTGTTTTTTGCAAATTCGTGTTGAGCCCACTCCTTCAATTGTATTTAGCAACCCTCTTTGTAGCGCATGCGGCCAAAGTCTCCAAAATGCAGGGAAGCAAGCAGGCTTCGCCCAACTCAGACACAGCAAGCCCAAAAGCATTCAACACAAAGGAAAAAACCAGAATTGGTACAGCCTGCAAGGAGAGTAAAGACCTGCCGTCCTCAGTCTGAAGCCAGGGCTGCCCAGATTTACGTCACAGCATTCCATACGGCACAGAATTCCATTATCAGACAAGCATGGCCAATTTCAACTGTCAACTGCCAAGGCAAAGCAATCGAACAAGCTTCGCAGCATGCAGCATGTGAGCTGAGAATCCTTCTTGTCCTCATATCCGAAGTCAGACAGAAAAAATCATCCTGTGCTAACATGCCGCTCCCATGAGAAGGCTTGCCTCGACAATGCACAGTTGACAAGCCAATTCCTTTGAATGCGATCCCTTCGCTGATACCTTGTCCTGAGTCACGCCCGCGTTGCCCAGCTGCTGCAGGGATGTAACGGTTGCCAGATCACGCGGCTTCTCAATCCTGCTTCAACTGTATGAGGGCGAAATCGAATTTACAATTAGCAAGCAATGCAGTTCTGTCTTGGAGTTTGCTGAGCATGCTGGGCTCACGGACCCAGGCTCCGTGCTGCTCGAGCGGAGGCTTCGAGCCTGAGCCAGCGCTTGGCTGCGGGCAGCGAGGATCCGTGGGGTGCAAGGGGGTGGGCATTTTGGCTAAAGCTTTCTGTAGTTCGCGGTTGTAGGCCTGATGCGGAGGATTCTTCGCTCACATTTTTGCAACATGCGATCTCACGTTGCATTGTGCTGTGTACGTATTTGGTCATATTTGATCCCTGTATTCAGGCCCAATTCATGTCAGAGGCTCCAGAGATGCATTCTAGGGCGGATCATAGGAAGACGCTTTGGACTTCCCAAGCACGGCACAATAAGTACTCCAAGCAGAGGGCTTTTGAAAAGCGTGGGGGGGTTGGGGGTGGTATTTTTTCCCTTTCAGGCCCTGGCGCACAGCCAGAAACAGGTGAACGAGCTGACAGCCCGCAGGATCCTCACATCAGCCAAGAGCCCCTTCTGAGATCGGGGGGTCTTGGAGTGAAAGCTTCTCAGAATTCAGCAAGGCAGACTCAGCTGAGGTGCGCGTGTTATCGCTGACGAGCGGACACGTATGGAAGAGTCCCTGCAGGTGTGTTATTTTGCTTGTTCCAGGCAATTCTTATGGCAGAGCGTGGATGCTGAGTACAACACTAAGCAGTAAATCAGAGGTAGAAAGCGCGGCTGTCACAGGCAACACATCAGCGAGAGCTCACTGCCCTCAAAGAAGAGTATAGCTCTCAGTCAGAGATTCTGCGAGGGCAAGGTAACGGAAGCGAGGGCCGGTCGGCACAGAAAGCTTTTCTGGGATCAGGCATGCCAGAGCGATGTCCGCGCTCCAGTGCTAACCCCGGATAAGAGATGGTAAAAGCCAACGCAATCCGATCAGCTGGACCTTGAGGTGCTCGGCCACGGAGGAGAAAAGTCGACTAGAGGCCGAGCACAAGCAGGCCGGAGAAACAACAGGCTCCAAGCAAGAACTGCAGAAAAGCAGATAGCAGCAGATGACCTACCAAGAACTAGTAATTTGGGTGAACCCCTGTGTGGGCGATGAAGCGGGCAAGTTCCTTCCGCAGTTTCTCACACAGTGCCTGAGGGTCTCTTGAGCTTTGTGACAGCAGTCCAGCATCCTCCAAAAGCAGTCCGATTACCTTAAAAGCCGCGCGCGCTGGAAGAGCCCTCATTTACCGTGTTAGCGTTCAAAGCCGGTAAGTATCCTCAAGGGATGTTACGATATTCCAGCGTCCAGGGTTGCACCGGTCAAGGATGCTTCTGGGGCTGATGAAGCGGGTACGATGCTGTACGGTAGCTACAGAGGCAAGCCAAGCCCCATACTGTTTGCCTGGTTTGCTGACTTCGGTGTTTCATGCAGTGGGCCAGCATCTTGCCAACGCTTGGGGCACAAAAAGCTTAGCTCAGGCTCTGCAAGCTGCCCTTGACCGAGCGCAGCGTGCAGAGGGCTCTGTGGAGGTGCTGCGGTGCAATCAATTTGAAGCTCAGGCTTCTTTGGGTCTTGATGCTGGCTCGAGCTACTACGTATGCCATTGAAGGCTACAATACATGCTTCTGTATCAGAATCAGGCTGAGATTTGTAACTAGGCCCCTCCGCCAGCCGATAGATGGCTTGAGAGATTTTGAGAGCTGGTGGTGCCTCATCAAGCTGGCCCAGAATGCTTCAATGTTTGGATGAAGGTGGTGAGGCTAAGCTGCTGCTTCAATTGGTGTTTGGGATTGTGTACTTCAGTCTGAGAAAAGTATGTGGTCTAACTGGGACAATCCAACAATTTAGCTTACGCTGTGCCCCTGCGTTGGCAAACGTGCGGTTGGCTTCTCTCTGCAGGAATTGCAAAGAGCACGTCAGTCGCTTACGGTGACTGGGGAAAGTTGCGCAAGCCTCGGACAGTTTGTGTTGCGCGTCCTTGACCAGTCGTTGCATGCTGAAGAACAGTCGTTCATGCTCAAGACGGTGAGGGGCAACGTTTTTTCCATTCCTTTTTGCTTGTAAGTCCTTTTCCGTCGGTACGGTCCTACGGCCGTCCGCTTCATACGTCTTGGGATTCCCCGAGTAAAGTAGTTTATTCCGGGAGAAATGTATTCTATTCAAGCATAACGGCAAAGCTGGTGACAGGCGATAAACAAGCGTAACGTGTTGCTCCTTGTGCGCGCGCTGGCAAACACCAAATGGATAGAACAAGCATGAACAAGCCATTCCCCGTTCCATTGTCTCAATCAACATCAGGTCGGGAACGCCTGGAGTTGGCGGAGCGTCAGTTGATGGAGGTCAGGGAGAGTAGGGTACCTTGCAGCTTGGAGCAGATGACGTCAGCGTGGCTTGGGCAAGGTACTGTAACGAAAGCTTCGTGTTTATGTGTGACATGCTAGTATGTTTTCAAGGCTGCCTTTGCTCTAGATTATAGACGATCCAAAAGTCCCATGCGGCGTCCAGGCCTCACAAGAGACTTGTGAGCTTCGGAAGCAGCTGAAGCAGTGCGGAGCACAGAGTTTACAGCTATCTTTTGTGCGGAATGCTGCCCTCTGCAGCCCTGAATCCTTCAAGTTGCCCTCAGTTAAGCCATGTGTCGCCTATGCACCTAGATCTCGTGCATGTTCTCCCACGTCTTGTTTTCAGTGTCACGTCTTGACTGAGTCTATCTTTTTCTTTCGTTCTCTCTCTCTCTCTCTCTCTCTCTCTGTCTTTGTCTTTGTGTCGATACGTGTATACATGTCCAACTCTAACCACATAGAAGTCCAACATGGCATAACTGCACATATAAGTGTGAGATGTCCTCAACCTGATGAACGGTCGTGACCTTCTCGATGCCCTTTGGCCACAAGCCTGACACTTCCAGCAAAGTTGGGACCGAAGTCAGATCGAGACATGGCACCCAAATTTTCGAGGACATTTCGACACGGTTTCAATCAAACTGCTCTCGCTTCGCATGTACAAGTCGTTGACTCGTGTTTGCCAGTTTCGATTGATATGCTGCGTAGTTAAATCGCTCCTTCAAATAACATCCTGTTCTTAGGACTTGCAATACCAGGCTAACAACTGCTGTTCCAGTCAGACACTCGGACCAAGGCTGGAAGAGCTGAAGCCTTTCCCTGAGCTCTGATGCGATGTGGCAATGTGTCCAAGGACACACTTACAATGCTGAAAAGGTAGTCTCGGAGAGTAGATCGTGGCGCACAGAATTCTGGAAGAGCGGGTCCATGCCCTCTTTCGTGTAGGCAATTTCTCATGCTAACGCGACCTGATCCTTCATCCTAAGATATCCTAAGTATCCCTCGAGCTTCACCACTCCTTACAGCCCCAAGACCCCAAAACCTTCAAACTCCAAAACCCTACACCCTAGACCCCTATGGCCGCAAACTCCTGTCTTTAAACTTTAAACCCCTACCGCCTAAGCCCGTAGGCCCCTGAGCCCCTGAGCCCAAACCTTCAAACCTTAGACCTTAGAGTGTGCCGTTCCATATGAGTGTGATGCCGGTACTGTTCAAGAAGTGCTTTTGCCGCTGCTTTCTTTTTTCTTCGCGCCTGGCCGGAGAAGGTCCATCCTGCGCCAGGACCCCTTCACAGAGTTTGAGCTGCATGTGGCCCACAGACTCTAGACCCCCAACAAAATTACAAACACAAAGGCGAACCAGCAATGGAAAGCCTCACCTGTAAGGAGAACAAATACATAAGGTGAAATTAAGGTTCAGACACGAGCGAGAGCTGAGTGGACTGCAGGCGCCAAATGCCAGGTTAAGCTTACTGCAGCTATGTGCCAGCATGATGAATCTTGAAATGTGCTGGGCAACCGAGGTTTGATGCCGTATATCCAGATGCCCAACCTTAGGCCTTAGACCCTTGAGGATCAAACCCCGCCAGGTTCAGCTGGCCTCAATGAAGGAGCAACTGGTCGTCCGTGAGGAGTCCCTTGACCAATCGGAAGGGATGACCTTGCTAAGCATTTTGACAACACTGCATCCAGACCTTGTGGAATCAAGCGTTGGCATCCACATTGAATCGAAGACAGGGCTGATGCATGCAGGTTGCAGTACCTCATGATAGACAAATTGACTGACCTCAAACTTTGAAGGCTGTCCCACACCCTTCGATAAAGAATGGTCGCGTGTTCGGGTTCTGATTGTGCATACTTTGGAAAGCCGGAGATGACAGACTTCATCAAAAGACGACGTCTTTCCCTTTCCGACGGGATAGGTTGGCAGTCAGCATTCGTGGTCAGGGTGGATCTGCATTTGATTCTGAGTTCATGGCATGATAGGTCTGAGAGCAAGTTGCTTCCCACCCGAGGCATACAACTAGCCAAGCTGCTCAGATCGAGAAGGCCGAGCGCGAGCGCCGAAGCCCCAGAGCCACAGCTTTTGAGTCCAGTAGCCTGGTCAGGCCCTCCAGCTTGATGGTCAGGTTTTTTTCAGCAGAGGGCCCTTTTTCTTTTTCTGTCGCGGGGCTGGCGGTTGCTGGCATATGCTTTAGACTTCGGCATTATCAGACTTGCATGACTACAGATTCTGAACGGAAGTTCAGGCGATTTTGAGGCGGGCTTGCAGATTTCGAGGGAAAAAGGAAGAAGAAATGAGAACGGAGGCAGGGAAGAAATGGAATGGGGAACGGGAAGCCTGGAGGAAGGAACTTGAAATTACTGCTCTACCATGCTCTACTATAATTACTAAGATGAGCACTTTCCGCAATCACCGTATGACGGTGCTACAATACTCCTGGTTGTTACACCTTTAGTTGCGAGTCTTGACGTCTTGCTATCATCCTATCCGTATTCCACAGCAGTATTCCTTTGGCCTGTATCGCTGATTATTTACTCGTACTCTGATCCTGAGGAACCTTCGCAGAATCGTTTTGCCTCCCATCGTTTTAGCCATTATTGCTTGAACTTGTGGTTATCCTTATTATGATGACCACTACCATGCCATTGCCACCGCTGTCACCACTCCTGCCACCACCGCCGCCATTGCCACCGCCACCGCTCTACCAGCACGGCCACCGACAACGCTACCCCCGCCGCCACCACCACCACCATACTCCTCACAATATGCTGCTGCTGCTGCTGCTGCTGCTGTTGCTGCTCAAGCGGGGCCAGAACAAAGGGGATCAGTGTGGGATGCAAGGCAAGAACATGCTGCAATTACATGCGGTCGCAGGGCTTTTGCCGATTGCATGGAAGCGCCATGACGTTCCTTTACCGGCTGCCACCCCACCACACAAAGAGTCAATCTCGTCTCAACACGAAGACGTGCTGAACTTGCTGCCATGTGGAATGAGCATTGGAATTACATTTCCGTCATGATTCTCCCGGGCACGCTTTCTGGTATTGCTAATGCTTGTTTTTGGTTCCTGTTTGGCAGTGCTGACTGTTTTTGCTTCATCGTGCCATCACATTAGCATTCCGGAATGTTCTGCAGTAGGATTCCCGTTTAAAGTGTTCGATGTTCGGGTCAAGGGGTCCAAAAGGTGACCAAAATCGTTGCGCGCGTGTCCCCGAAGCATCCGCAAAGTATCCGCAAGTGTCCCGATTGTCGGACATTTACCACCTGGGGTTTGCCAACCTCGTAACAGTGCCAGTAGTCACAGGCATGGAGCCTCGGGGTCGCCATCTTGAAAACTGCAGTTTCTTTGAGACGGTCGTTGCATCGCATGTTGAAAGTGCCAATGGTCATGAGTGGGGCCCCTCTGAGAGCCGCCATCCTGGCAACTGTCGTACCTTTTGAAGCGGAGTGGAGAGTGGGTGGAACATGGAAAGTGCCATGGAAAGTGGAGCGGGAAGTGGAGTGGAGAATGGAATGGCGACTGGAGAATTGAGTTGCGAACGCAGTGGAAGGTGAAGTGGTCAGTGGAGTCGCGAGCGCAGGGAGCGGAAAGTGAAATGGATAATAGAGTGGAGAGTGTAGTTCCGGGAATCGTGTCGTGAGTGGCGTGCGTGATCTACTCGAATTTCGTATCGGGTTCATGGCTTCCACTCTTGTCAGGCTGCAGCTTCCGAATCTGCTCTCTCACTTTTTTTGCTATCACGCGAACGACTTGCTGTCCTGTTACGTATGATGCTTGCTATGATGAAATCTGCGATCCTCAACCTCCATGAAGGCCCCTCATGGTTCCAACCTTGGAAACTGCAGAGACGGTGGTATCCATCAAGTACCTGTCCAGTCTGCAGGAAGTTACGTGCAAGAACGCTTTCAAATGGTTTCATCCTGGCTAGAAACAAGCTGCATCGCTAGCATGCAATCTGTGGGGCTCGCCGGCTTGCAACGCAGAGCATTAGATCATGAGGTACTTCTGGTTTTGTACTACTCGTCAGAAGCACTTCAGGCGACGGGTTGCATGCATGTCAGCATTATACAGGCAGGATGCTCGAGGAAAGCTTGGTCGCAGCAAAGAAGCAGGCTGGACGTTCTTTGTGTTTGATACCCTTTCGCGTGCACTCTCGCTCTCACAGAACGCAGGCACATGGGTGCCTGCTTTTAGCAGTGCAGGGCACACTCCAGATAGGGAGAGCAGCTCACCGTCTCCGCAGAAGCTTGGCACATCTCCTTTTCGCAGCCGTTAAGTTCAGCTGGAAGTCCGGTAGCTCCGTGCACGAGCTTAGCTTGCCGCAGCAGCGCAGCAGCTCGCCAGGCATCCTGGCTATGTGCAGAGCAAAATCTGAATGCTTTGCTGTCTTCAGATCTGTGGCCAGGCACCTCCCATGGCGCAGTCAATGCAGCTGCAGGCAATCGAGGGCCGTTTACAGAAGGCTCTTGAGCTCCTTGGCATTCCGTCGTTTCACCACAGCATGTGCCTGTTTATCTCCACCATGGCTAGTAACGTAAAGTAAAGGAAGTCCAAGGATCAATTACTCGTGAATGTCAAACTCGATCGTATTTGTCCAGAGGTGCCAAATGCAGGAGGTAACAAGAAGGCTTCTTTTTTTTACGAGGGGGAAGAGTTCATAAATGAAGCGGCTTGCACTTGCAGAAAAGTTGTTTATTGCGACCAGTTTGGGAAAGCTGTACATCGATTTCTTCTGAATCTTTAGCTTCTAGCAGGTTCTAATCATGCCCAAGGCTGGGGAAAAAAGCAGCCCACAGAAAAGAGTGATGTGCCTGTACTAAACAGTGTCTATTAAAGAAATACCAATCTTTACGGATGCTTGGCTGCTGGAACTTTGGTAGTGCGAGCACATGAATACAGTAGGCGAACGGTGCATTGTAGGGATGACGTGGGCTGAATGCTCAAGCTTGAAAAGCGACAGGGTAGCTATGTGCCATGAAACTTGCGGCGATCTTGACGGCTTTGGCACTGCAGCCGGCAGCTGGACTTGTGAGTGCAAGTGTAACTGCATCACTTCACCAAGCAGGTTGGATCTGGTCAGTCTGACGGCAGGTGGCTGT